TGTTTAACCTGGCTCCCCACAGGGACGGGTGCGGTGCACCAGCAACGTGCCTGTTGTCCTTGGTTTCACTTTACCAGGCGAAGCCCGTAGTCCTGCCAGAAAATGTGTAAGGAGCCAGCAGGTCGGAAGGCAGAGCAGAGGCTGGGAGCTGCGGAAGGCAGACTGACTTGGGGGTCCTGCCCTGCCGCAGGAGCCTTGGCCGTTGCTGCCGCTGCGTTGTGTATTCACGAGCCACCTCTTGCTGCACAGTAACGGAGAGATTTTGTCAAATTCAACCGGGTATATATATTTAAAACAAACCAGAAAATTAAATTAAAAATAACTATTTTCCCAAAAGTAAGGTAACCTGTGCTCAGCATTTTTCATGCTCAAGGTCAAAAGTTTTCCTCTGAAAGCAGCGGTAGGAACAGGTAGACACATGGTTGCAGTCCCACAGGTCGGTGTGGTCCAGCACTGGAGCAGCAAAACAACACTTCCAGCTGTGTCCGCTGTTGTCTGCGCTGATCCGTGGTGGGTTGATAGGATGGACGGGAAGGATGGCAATCATGAGGTGTGTGTTTAGCTTGTCCTTTCCCCTTATCTCACGCTCGCTTTGATATCTCATTGGCACTTGATGTAGGCTAACATGCAAATATGAATCAAACTGGGTTTTGGGATATATATGGGGGGGGGTTTGGTGGGGAAAGAGGAAATTGAGAAAATCTTCCTTTTATTTAAATAAATACAGTATATCAAGTAAGCGGGAGGGTCACAAGGACACTTAATATGTTGTGATGATGAAGTTGCCTCCCTAAATTCAGAGGCATTCATCTGTGTGTTTAAGGTATAGCCGGTATAACTACATATCCTCTTTTCAAGACTTTTGTGTCACCTACTGGGAGCTGAATAATTTGTTAGAAGGTTCGCATTACTTATCGTCTGCCGTATTATGAATGAGGTTGATCTGCATAGCAGCCTTGCTTCGCTTGCTGTGAAAGTCTATAGATGCCATAAATATAGCAGTGGGTTACTGGAAGAGGAATAATTCTGATAAAAATACTAGACTGAGATCCAGCTGTCTGATTTCACTATGAAGTTCCCGTGAAACCTGGCGAGTCATTCAGCCTCATGATGGTGCAATTTTACATCTTTGAGGATGTTCTGGAACAGCACAAGACTAATTGGAGGCTGTGCTCCCCGCGGTCTTTGGGGCGCTTCCGTAATACGGTGATGAGGCCATGGAGGAGGTGAGGGGCATTCGTATCCAGGGCACTGATTAAATAGGCAGAAAGTGAGAGGTGAATAGTAAAGATGAAGAAGAAAGTGAAGAGCTGATTCAGCTCTGTCCATCTATGTGATGAATCATGGAAGGTGTTTGCTGAAAAGTAGTATATCATTGTAACACCAACCTGTATATCCTGTCATACATAAATACTCTTAAGGTTATGTAGGTTTCACATTGCTCTTCTCATTTTTAGGGTTCACACAGAGTATGCTTGGCAGCTGTCTGCAAAGTATTTTATTTAATAGTAGAATAATATTCATATAGTGCAAGTATTAAAAGAACATCTATTTTTTGTTTATGATTGAAGAATGTATAAATTGCTGATGCTCAGAAAGTCCCTAAATTCCATAAAATTCAGCAACTACATGTGGACGTGCTAATCATGTGTGGGTGTACAGGATGCAGAAGAGGCAGTACACCAGCAAAGCTCAGTAGATCTTGAAATTGATCCTATATCTGTAATTTTGCTGAAACTGAGGCTTACAGGTATTCATGTAAAGGTTTGCAAAGTTGAACTTCGCTTCTCTGAATTCTTTTGCTTTGTTGGAGGCCATCGTTCCTCAAACCAGGGCTGTGCCATCTAACTGTGCTTTGCCTTTGTCCAAAGGAGGAACAGTCAGAATTGTGTAGGTAGCAACTATTAAAATACAGCACAAAAACCTGAACTGAATTTTGGGGTTTGAACTTTTTTCTGATTTTTTTTTTTTTGAGAAGTGTTAACTGCTCATAGAATTTCCAGTTACCATTCATTTATTCAGAAATTAGCTTTAATGTATTCTTTTGAAAATTCTGAGGAGGAGGAAGGAAAAATGTGTTTAATATAAACTTTAGAGTTTGAAATAGAATTTCTGGCAATTTTTCACTGTTCGTGTTTATGGGAAAAGTGATTGCGTATGTAAAATTGTAAAGAAGCTTGGGTAATTTAGCACACGGACTGTTAACGGCATGAAGTCGGGGTGCAGAGTATAAAGGTAAAATTCTCGCATCTGCTGTTACATGTTGTTAACTCCCTTAGCAGACATTAAATCATTTCAAGTACAATAATAGTGTGGGAGGTAAATTAACTAACCATTAACAATCTTATAAATACACAATTAACATGCCAACATTTATATGACACATTGATGGGGCAGCAGTAATTTTTGATTGGGAGTTTGCAGACCTTTTAGAAGCCTAAGGCGGTTGCTTATTTAAACAAGTTCTTACTGCTTGCAGGTAAGCATGGCCTTTTCTAATAGGCAGTGTGTAAATAATTAAATTTAAAGAACATTCTCAGTGCACGTCTTAAAATATCTGTACAGTGTACTTAGTTGTGTCTGTGTTCTCCAAGTCTCACAGTACCACTCGCGCTGCTGCGGCTTTAACAGGTAAATCACAGCCAGGAGGCAGTTGCCTTATGGAAGGATATTTACCTTATGGCCTCTCGCTTTGAGGACAGTGAGAAATCCTTCGGGGAGAGCAGGCCTACTTTCTGTAATGGAAATAGTCAGAAGATAAAAATTAGAACCCAGAGTCACAGCCTTGCCGAGGTTGGCAGGGACCTCTGGAGATCCTGCCCAGCCTCCCAGCTCCAAGCCAGGCCAGCCAGAGCGGGTTGCTGAGGGCCTTATCCCATTGGGCTTTGAATATCTCCAAGGATACTGATGGAGCGTGTTTAGCTAATAGCAGAATTTATTAAAATGTATGGTAGGAGTAGTGTATTAATAACAAGCAGCATGTCAGCTTTATTTCTCTACCGTTCTTTTGTTTAATTCCTTCTTGCTGCTGGGTCTGTTGTTTAATATAATACTTTTGAATTTGTCTGTATTTTTCTAAAGCAGAAAGGACACAGTCTCTCAGGAAAAAAAAAATAAAAAGGCAGGATTTGTGGCCAAGGAAGCAAAAAAAGCCTAGAATTATGAAGGATGTAAATCTCTCTTTATTGAACGTTCTAATTAGCAGATGCTGATGTTTGGTGGTAGGAAGGATACCAGTAGGGTGTAAATTGCAAACAATTTACAATACACCTCCAAAATTTTCCTTTTGTCACGATCAGATGAGTGTCCAAATGAAGTATTACTTTTGTTTCCAACTATTTAAATGCAGAAGCTGCTTTGTGGGGCTCTGTATATTAATACACCTTTTGCCTTGGCAGTGTACAGGGGAAATGATGAAATGTGTTTGCTGGTGCTGGAACAAGCCTGTCTGATGCTTTCGTTCACGTTCTTCTGTTAAAACCTGCCAGGAAAAGGCCAGCTGCCTTTACCAGGTTTTCATGGGATACGAATTGGTGTGATTTAAAATTGTTTCTTTTCATTTGGTATTTTCTTCTTGCTGACAGAAGTTTTGCAAACAGCAACAATAGGTTTGTTGTTGTTGTTGTTGTTTCTATGTTCAAAATACTAAATTAACGCATTTAGTTCTATAGCTGCTACAAAAATGTTGGTTTTTCTCAGATATGCAAATGATTAGAAAAGCCGTGGGGGTTCTGAACTTCTGGAATTTGCATCTAGTTTTGCATCTCTCTGTGAGCTCAGATTTAACCCCCCGACCTCCCTCTTCCTCAGGCTGAGGTTCCACAGTCACTTTGTGCAGCGTGAGCACCGCTGCGGAGTGGGAACCTCGGCTCTGCTCCGTCTTTGCCGTTCCTGCTGCCCGTGTTATGTTGGTACTGGTGCTCTGGCAGCTGTTTGCTGGTGGACTGATCAGCCTGAAAGTTAGTAATGTGTTCTTTTCAGGTTGTTTTCAGCAGGGGATTTTTTTGACCCAGCTCGCCTCACAGCTACACCAGTGGTAATGCCAGCCTTTGGGCAGCGTGGAAATGTCTGAGCAGGGCCAGGCAGGAGCATGGAGCTGCCCCTTTCAGTGACAACCCAGACTTGAATTAGATTAACGTAACTATAAATCCACAGCTACAGTAAAATGGGAGAAAAGTTTAAGTGTGGTTTGGGTTTTGTGGTTGGGTTTCGGTTTGGTTTTTTTTTTTACCTGCTACCTAGTTTTGTAAGGCCACTTGAGTAATCTGAATGAAATATTTTAGGTAAGTGGCAATTAGTGTTGTTAAAGTGCTTAAGAATTCAGGCATGTGGTGTACTACCGTAGAACTTGTTCTGTATTACAACGGTTGCCCTATAACACCATGCAGCAGCAGATGTTCAATATTCTGCCCTGAGATACTCATCTCTTCACTTTTAAAGTTTTTGCTTGAAAGACAAATCCTGAAGAGGGTCTATAATCAAAGAGTTGGTATGTAGAGGCAGAAAAAAGACAGTAACGCACTGTTATGATGGGTGAAAAGAAATTCAGAATGCTATTTGGTTTTGTAAACTTATTAATTTGAATAGATGTTTCTTTTGTGTATTTTTTCTCTGTCCTTCTGTATGTAGTACTTAGAATGTTTTGCCTTATAGCAGCCATTTGTTGTAGAGTAATGGGACCTGTCTAGAGGTGTCTGCTTTGTTCTGTTGTCTTGGGATTCAGGTTTCAAGCTGCCCTTGAAAACCACCATTCTTTAAGTGGATCTCAGTATAACTTAAGTGAACTGGAGCAGAATTAAAATAATTCACGGTACAAAACTGAGTCAGTTAGGTTTTGTGCGTCCCTAATATAAACCTCCTTTAATCAGGGTTTGGGTTGGTTTGTTGTTTGGTTTTTTTTTTTCCCTGAAATGCTGTGTACATTATGTTTCTAGGTACATGCGTCCATGGAACAAGATGGAGAAAAGATAGTATAGTGAAGTGGCGGACTTGTGGACAGAATGGCTTTCCTGGACAACCCAACAATTATACTTGCTCATATTCGGCAGTCACACGTGACCAGTGATGACACAGGGATGTGTGAAATGGTCCTGATAGATCACGATGTCGACCTGGAGAAGTTTAATCCCTCGTCAGCATATGGGGACAGTGGTTCAGAAACACAGGGAAGCAACGGTGAGACTCAGGGCTATATATATTCCCAATCAGTCGATATTACCTCAAGCTGGGACTTTGGAATCAGAAGACGATCAAACACAGGTAAGTGATATTTGCAGCAAAGATAACATTAGCCTTTTAAATTCAGTTTCTATTAGTCCGGCTTGCATGGACAAATCAGAGCATGACTAGCTGGGTACCTGTCAAACTTTTCCTTTTGTAATGTCGAGACCCTTTTATAAAAGGACATGTAATGATTCAGTTACTGTAGTGTGCTGTCAGCTGAGTTTTAATTGCTGTTTTACTTATTCATGTACAGAGGAACATTGAGGTAGTCAGTTTTATATATAAAAAAAAATTAAATTCTAAAGACATCAAGTCTAAATCCAAAGTACATGAACAGTCTTTGATATTTCTATTGTTAATGTCTGGAGGGGTGTTAACTTTTGAACAGGATAGTTATTTTCTGAGAAAAATCTACCTAGTGAGGCATCAAATCTATTTGTTATAAAAGAGAGGAATGAAGTTTGATGTGAGCCAACGAAGGGAATGATTTGTCTGTATTTTGTCTTCTGAAGTTTTATTTCTGAAAAAACCCCTTGAGCTAGGATTGAAGTTACCACATTAGGACATTTAAGGGTGTTCACCTTTTCAAAATATGCTCAGTTTGTCTTGACTGGAAGAAAGCTGTCCCGTTTTTTGTTTCATATGAGGGATATTCAGCCTTACACCTGACGAATGCTATGAACAAAAATTCTGCAATATAAAACATATATGAAAAGGTTGGTGTGGAGCGGTCAATACTGATCTCTTTTCTGTATTACAGTATGTATTTTTTCAAATGATTTCTGAAGGTATTATAACACCACCTAGAGCTCAGAAAAAACATCTGTGCTCTACCTAACAAGTAAAATGTTGTATGGTATTGAATATCTCAAAATACCTTTTAGAAATAAAGGTATTTTTGACAAGAAATAAGTTGTCAAAAGTTACAGAAAAGACAGGGCACTGATCTCTTGTAACAGAGAGTTAGATTTGGAAATCGGCTAAATGCATCGCTGCAGCTGACTGTGAGGCACGGTGAAGAGGTTCGTGTGCCAGGCTGCCTAGCACTGTGCTTGAGGGCTTGTTTGGTTCAGTTGATAGCGTAGTTTATGAGGAAGGAGAGGCAAAGTTTAAAGGCTTAGAGAATTGCTCCAAAAGATAATTCTGAAGGGATCTTTCACCGAGGGAGGAGACTGATAGAATAATCTCCATCTAAGTTATGGATTGAAACCATTTCAGTTTCCAACTGCTGGCATATTCTAGAGTAATGGTTGGGCACTCGGTCCATTGGGGAGCCAGGTTTTTGTCTCTTTTCATCTGGCGTGTCTTTTATGTTCCATCGTGTGTGCTGGTATCACCAGGACCCCAGTACAACTATTGAGGTGATCAGGCTATGATTTGAAACAGAGCGGGGTGGAAGAAAGCCTACAAAGAATGCAAGTTGCTCAGTACTGAACCCTTTTAAAAAGTACAGGAAGAGCAACAAATTAAATAGAAAGTTAACTGGTTTTAGCATAAATGCTTTTTTTGCATTACACAGGTACTTACCTAAGTTCTCGATGGAAGAAAACAGATACATACGGACATAGGACAAAGTGTTCACACATCTCCTAAGTACAGTGTAATCTGCAATTTTTTTTCTCCTAAAATGGGCAAACTTAAGGACATTTCTTTTTTACTTAATCCATAACTATTTTAGTAGATTTAGCAAGAACAGGAGCATTTGTTCTTTGAAAAGCAGGTAATGATTCTTAGGTTTGGAAAGAGAAGATAGTGTAATTTTGTGTATCAGCAGGTAATACTGGCAGACTTTTTTAACGTGTAAGCTCTTCTTTCTTCTCCTTGGTTTTATACCCTGCTAAATAAAATTATTTCTGCTTATGCTGCATTAACCATTGTTTTTGGATGGAGTATAACTTTTTATTATCTTTTTGCAATGCTGTTTTATTGTAAAGTACCTTACCAGCATAGTATCTTTTTCATAAATTGTAAAAATAACGTGTTGCGGTAGAAGGCTCAACACATCTCTGTGGAGACTACAGAAGTGTTGGTTCTTAGGTGGTTCTCATGTGGGTATGCAAATGTGGAGATGAATTTTATGTGTATTGTAATATCAAAGTTATCCCCTTATTCTCGAAAGGGATGTGCAGTGGGTGAGAATGTTAGGGTGTTGCGCATCATGGTCGGGGAGAACGCAGGGGTGTCTGCCACTGACTTCTTCCTCCTTTTCTGCAGGAGCTAGATGGGTCATGGGTGGTCTTTGGCTCTGGGCTCCGTCCTCTCACTGCCACCTCTGCCATATGCCGAGGGTTAAAATAAACTAAAGTGGAGACAGGTCTATGCAGGGTGTTGGGTATATGGGACAGCAGCAAATTCTGCGCACCCTCATGACTAGAAACAAAGGCTCATCTAGTTGCTAATAGTGAATGAAACGAGAAGTACATTTGGTCAGTGACATTTTTCACACAGAAAGCTTTCAAACTAACACACTGCTTGTGGGAATGAACTTTAAATAATTCAGACTTCTAATAGGTACTGATAATTCCCTCGAATTTGGAGTTGCTATAATATGGTCCCACAGTAAATGATCATTTGTGGTCAACTGTAGATAGAAGAACAGGATGGAGTTAGTGAAGATGGTGACTGCACTTTCGTGCATTTATTTTGAGAAGGGGTGAAAATATCAAACAGAATGAAAACATGCATTGTTCTTATTTCTATGCTACATTTTTTCTTTTATCTATTGTTTACATATGACTCTAACCGATACTTTGTGATGGCCCATTGGGAAGAAAGGGGTTTGGAAGGTAATTTTGAGCTACAGTCTGGACAGTAATTGGGGAAAAAAGTTTTTTATTTCAGAATAAAATATCTATGCTACAGTAGTGTTTCACCTAATTTAAGCTTCTAAGCAGGAATACATCTTCTTTTATTTCATGAAGAGTAATATACATAGAGGTATTTAGACACTAACTTCATGCTGGCTTAAGTGGGAAATAGGCATCAAAGTCCCTGGTTGTGTTTGTAGCTTAAACTACTTGTTACAGCTGTGAAGCCTCAAAGTATTATTTTTTTCATGAGTTCCCCAACTGTGAGGTTTGATGGGGGCAGAAAAATTCACTTCTGCATCCACAATTCAGTTCAAGGACTAAATGTAAAAGAATAATAATAGGAGGGATAGAAAATATTTGTTAACCTTTTTTTAATTGGTGAAATGGCTCAGGGAACTCAACTTGCATCTGAAAATTGTCAGAGTAATTTAGCATTTTAGAATCTCTTCTACAAACCCATTTTAGTTAATGAATGATCTCAATACATCAAAATTGCTAATACATCCAGCAAATTGTTTCCTTCAGTGATCAACGTTGTTAGTCCTACCTTCCAGTCTAATCTGCTTTCTTATTTTGAGTGGACGCTTCCTTCCATCAGTTATTTCTTGTGGTCATTGTCTTGGGTGGCTTCCACCAGGTTGAGGTGACCGTTCCCTGAGAGAGATCTTACTGTTAACAAAGAGATAATGTAAGGTATTCTTCTGTTACCGTGGCCTGGAAGTTCCTTGATATTGAAACTATTTGAGGCTTTTTTTCAAACCGTATTTTGAAGATGGAGTCAAAATATACGTAAAGAAATATTATATTCATTTTAGGATTTGACTAATGTTGTGAAGATACAAATCATTTATTTTACTACCTATAAACTGTTTCAGCACACTGAAGAAAAAGCTATGCTAATTTATATAGCTTTGACATTTTATAATTTTCATGATTTTTAGATAAAGGATTTTATATTTAAAACTTTAATAGTCTAGTCTGAGTTCATTTATCTTTAATTTTTGAAACGGGTAGAGTAATTCATAACAGTAATTTTATTCCTGTAATGTAATATTCACTTCAGTTCATTTGTGCATTAAAATTCCTTTAAGACCGTTATTAATGATTTATATAATGAAATGTCATATTAATCACAGAAGTTTTCACATTTTATTATTCTCTTCCATGTTAATACTATCTTTATGATCTCTATTAATGTTTTATATCCTCTAATTTCAATTATAAATCAAGAACATTTTCATGTTTTTGTTGGTATTTGCTTTTCAGGGGTGCCACCTTTAAAATTTTATGACTTTTTCCCCTACATATGCAGTATAAAACATCTTTATTCATATAAAGGTAGTTAATTATGTCTTTGTTTATAGTAAACTTTCATTGACAAACTTATAGTTATAATATTTCTTTTCAAGCTCAGAGACTAGAACGTCTGCGGAAAGAGAGACAAAATCAAATAAAATGCAAAAATGTTCAGTGGAAAGACAGAAATACTTCTTACTCAGGTAAAAAGAAAAGATCTTCTATTTTCCTACTGTTTTCATTTCTGCTTTTCATGTTACATTTTCAGTTTGTAATTTTCACTTAGGCTTTCAAAGCCTAGAGGAAATACCAGTGATTGTATTTGCCTCCCATTCCCCAATTCCCCGTTTCCCATAGTTTATTGCTGGGGGGCGGTGTGCCACGGGCATCTCGGTTGGTTTCAGCTATGACTAGGGTGTTCCAAATTGTTAATAAAGGCAAAGTAAAGAAAAAATGTTTACAACCTAGTTTGTGGGTCTGAACTAATTGGAGTGGCTGCTTTATTTTTTGCAACATAAGGTATCAATACAGTGTTTGTGTAGTCTGTCATCTTGTAGCATCGTTATTGTCTAAGGCTTCTATTGTCTCCGTGAGCAGGGAATGGCGCTAGTGAAGCTCTTGGTGTTAGTGCCAGGTGTGTAAGGAACAGGACGTGGCTCTGCTCACGGGCGGGCGATCGGCGAGTGTCTGCATTCAAAGTGCAGGACCGCTATCGCCATGTAAGTTATGGCTTTCCGGCTATTTCCAGTGGCGTTTAGTGTACCGGATGTGATGAAGAATTTCAGAGAGGTTACTTCTATAGAATATTTTTATGGTTACTTTTCTAGATAAGAGGAAAATCTTAAGAAATAATGTGTATATATGATCTACTTAAATGAAAGCATAACAAATGCTGCCTTAGCTTATCTAGCCTTTCCTTGGAAAAACTAGTATCACTGATTTCTCAAAAAATATGCTTTTCTTTTCTTTTCTTTTCTTTTCTTTTCTTTTCTTTTCTTTTCTTTTCTTTTCTTTTCTTTTCTTTTCTTTTCTTTTCTTTTCTTTTCTTTTCTTTTCATATAATTAAGTATTTCTGACTGGATGTTCTACATAGTTTAAATTGTAATATATGAAATGAAAAATCTGTCTCAATTCTCTCATAGCTCATGCTAGTATCTATTCCTGTTGTATTTGACACACATTCAAACCTTTGTATGATCTGTCATGCCTGCTTCTTTTAAAATTTGTGTATATCTTAATGAGGTCCTTGTGTAATCTCCTTTTTTTTTGCCTAAATCCTTGTATCTTCCTGGCTGTCACTTGCAGAACCTTCTCCAGCTCTATAATATCTCTTTTTTGTAGAGGAGTGCACAAAGCTGCTCACATGAGCAACACGGTTGCACTAATCCTTAGTACAGTGTTCAGCTATGTTTGATACCTCGATTAATGCATTCTAAAATGTTTTTGCCTTTCTACTTCTGTAAACAGAGTTGTAGGTTTTAAAGTTTAATCTACCATAACCTCCAACTCTCTTTGCTCAGTATTTTATAGCATTTGACCGATGATGATGCAATTCTCTTTCTCCTTTATCCCTAACTGTATACTGCTTGATATTTCTTTACACTGAATTGTACTCAGACTCCAGTTTCCTGCTGGGTCTGTGCTGTTTGTGGGTTGTTATTCATGCGGGCTCCACCATGACATTTCGTCCTTTTACGTGCTGCCCTGAAGATAGACATAATCTGTCAACCAGCAGTACTGGAGGTGTGCCCCTCTGCAAGAATGTGCTGGGGCTGCCGGCAGAGATCAGTCCCTCCCTGCTGCAGAACAAATTTAAGTAGAAAATAAGGAAGTTACATAAAAACTCCAGGCACTCAGTATCTTTTTATTGGTAGAGCTGATTTTCCTTCTCTGCTTAGTCACTGAGATTCTGTATGTTGCTCACTTATTTGCATGAAGAACAGCACAGGAGGAAGAGGCCAGGACAAAGAGGAGCCCTCAAGGGTATCCGCTGTATCTTCCTCTTTGTCAGGTGTGCATGTGAGGCTTTGTCTGTTCTTTCCTTGAGTTTAGCCTTGTTGGAAAATCTGTATGAAAGCAGTAACAACAGCAATAGCTGTTCCCAGATGGGGGTCGGGGGGGGTTGGCTGCCATCTTCTGACTGTGTTTATCTGGGCTTCAGACAAAGTCCAGCCTGTGGCTGACACCATGCAAACTGAGAGGATGCTGGAAAGTTGTTTTGTTAGAGAGTCTGACACCACCTCCAGAGATCACTGCCTTACTGGAGAGAGAAACCCTTGTAAGCCTTTCCGCCGGCCTGCAGGCAGATACGTAGTCGTCACTTGAGGCAGCTGGCAATTGAGTGTTTTTTGTGATTCCCATTCTTAATTACTATGTACAGAAATAAAAGTACACTAACCAGGATAAAGGGAAGCGAGAGACAAGTAATTTTGTGTATAGTAATGAGAAAAAGAAGAAGAATATTTTCTACTCATCATCTCTTTGCCCGCCGTCATGAGACAAGCTGTTTGCATTGTCAGGAATGAGTTTGAAAGGTAAGGTGGTAGCAGTGTGTGGACTTGAAAAGAAAATCTCCATGCGTTTGGAGTTGGTTAGGGGATTAACAAGTACAAAGGTACTGCAGGGGTGGTTGACTGACTGGGAGTAAAGTGTAACACAGTGGATAGAGGTCTGGGGTTTTTGTTCTGCTGTGCCACCAGTTCACATCACCTTTCGCTGCATCAGCTCTCTCTCAGTAAAATTAAAAGAACATTTTGGGTTCATGCAGTGTGGAGATCAAGGTATGTTAGCAGAGCAGTCTGTGGGTCCTCTAAACCAAATATGGATAGACATACTACAGATTACTCTTTTTTATAAAATAGTAGGTATTTTTAGATGAAAGCAAGAAATAAAGCATTGTGTTTACATCTTACATTCATTCATTTCAGAGCATATAAAATGTATATTAACAATATCTCAAGGGAATCTTTCAAAAGCCTTGCATTCAGCCCATATAGAATAGTTTATGTAGCTAACAAAACTGCAAAAGGTGAAAAATACATCTAATATAGACTAATGGCAAAACTTATTTTTACTTAAGAATTAAAAAAATGCAATTAAAGCTTAATTACATTAAACTTTTAATGTAAAGTTTAATGTAAAAATATGAGCATTTTTTTCCTGAAATTTGAAAATTTTTTTTTCATTGTTTTTAATTGGAACTCTCACAGCCTGAGTCTATCGGGAATTATTTGACAAAATGCTTTTTGCACAAATCTTTAGAAGATTTTGGGTTCCTCTTCCTAAATGAGTTGAATTTTTTGAAATTAGAAAGTTTTCTGTGAAAAGAAAACTGTATCTCAGCCAGCTGAATTTACAATCTTACAGATTTTACTATTATTTAAACTCTTCAGTCATGTGAGATATTTGACCTCAGTAAAAGCTATACAAAACTCAAAGCAAAGCAGATGTCACACTAATGAATGCAGAAGAATTCTTGAGATCCTCTTTTTGCACATCCCAACAAAGGAAACGATAAACAAATCATCTTAACATTTCCCTAGAGACAAAACTTGAAGATAAAGGGCTTGCTTTTTCACTTGGAGCAATAAAACCATTATATTGAATTCCAAGGTACACAGTACTTTCCAAATGCCCAAGAAACACCAGTTAAGGGTAATACTCCAGCATGATTGCAATTGAGTTTTTGGTTGTTTTTTTAAACAGAGGTAAGCTTGAAGAACAGAATACCTAGTGGATTTTAAGTTGCCACATTTAAAAAGGATTTAATCAAGCTTTTTTGGTTAATCGCAGCCTCTCACAAGACTGTTGGGTACCTTGTAGTGCCAGTATTTAGCACTTTTGCCAACTGTCTGAATTTTCAGGCAATCTGCTGATAAAAATAAACTGAGCTTTTGACTAGTTGTAATTTGACAAGTTTTAATTTCGCACTTTAAGAAATTAACCAACTCCCTGCAGATCGAGCCCCAAGTCCTTCTGCCTTGGAGGCAGTTTCATTTCCATGGAGAAGCAACATGTAAATCTTGGAGATGTGAGAGAATCCAAAGGTACGAACGCAGAGCAGAGCCGGTCTGGGAGAGCTGGCGCTGGCTCTCAGGTTGTGATTGATGGAGTTCGGAGTACTTCGTTCCTAGAGCAGATGTGGAAAAACTTGTCCAGATTCAGTCACAGTTTCTTGCAGATGAGACCCATTGGTACAAATATGCTAAAACACCCCAGGCTCTGTCCTGATTTTGTAGTGTCCTTCTAACATAAGAAGCCCTAATTTTTAAATTTTTTTTTAAGTATGCCTTTAAATTTTGAGTTAAATTGTTGCTGGAAATTCAGCTATGTAGTCTCTTCCTATAGAAAGAGCTGCTTGTCGGAGGCTTTTATGCGCCTTCACAGACCACCCAAAGAACTCACTAACTCTTACCACCTTTGTTTTCAGAAAGCTTTTTTTTTTTTTTATTGTCCAGACTGTTTATCTGGAATGCTGTTTTCAAATTTGACATTTTTTTGAGAGGAGACCATATCCAGTCTATCATGAGAAGTAAATCTGAAGAAATGATTCTTTTGGATCAGATGTAGTCCCAAGCCTACTGCTGACAGCATAGCGATATTATCATGTAGTAATGGGTTAGCATAATGTTGTCCTGTAAACCAGCATAATATCATGTGTTACAAGCTCAGTTTGAAATGCTTCTGCATGGCATATTGTAGATGTGTCACCAGTTCTTTTGCATAGCAGAAGCATAAACAGCAATGCATAAACAGCATTTACTGTTTAGAAAAGGGTAGGCAAGCAGAAAGAGCAGGAATG